AAAAGATAACGTGAAGGATGAGATTGGAAGCTATAGAACAAGACTTTGTAGACGCGTGTTGAACATGTTTCGAGGCGATTAGACATGGTCATGGTTGATTTCATCCATGAATGCTTTGAATATGAACTACCATCCAAAGGATGTATGATATGATCGGTGGTGGAGCCAGGCCCTGAATATATGTTAGAGCGACACTAGTGATTATAACAGCTTAATATGAATATGTTAAGAATATCATGCACCTAGTTGACTAAGTTATTTTTGTGAGTATTTTCTTTGGATGATGATCAGACAAAAATTTAGGATGTAAACTTGGATCTATAAAACGCATTATAAGTTTATCTTAATTCTTTGTTTTTTGATTGGGAGAAATTTTGGTGTTTAAAGTGAGAAATTAATTTTTTAAGAAATTTATCTAAATTAAAAAGTTACAATTAGTATTTTATTAAGAGTAAAGGCTTTCACATGTATCAACAAAGTCCATCACAGTTGGTAGATAGCTGAGTTCCTTAAGCATGCTGACAGAAATTCGATCGCTGTATGTATGAAAAATGCTTTGTTGAGAAAAGTTTACCCACTTAATATGATTTCTTGCCTCAAAAAAATTAATCTTCGGCCGAGGATATTTTGAAAAGAAAAAAAAAAAGACTTTCACATGTGATGAGTTCGATCTCGGGATTCATGTGAAAAAAATAAAGTAAAAAACACTGTTGAGAGGGGTCTTAACAGTGACACTTTACTTCGGAACTTTAGGAAGGAGACCTTGCAGGCAAATTGGAAGGGAAAATATAAGGTTGTGAGGTCATAGTCGTATATGGATATTTATCGGGCAGTAAACCAACCTTGTGCTGTGCTTGTATTCGACAAAAGTTTAGTGCTGGGCATGATATGACTAAGGATGGTCCAGGGCACTTAATAAGAAAAAGAAGGATAAGTGGAAACATTTAATGGGATTGTGATTTTAGCTCGACTTGTTGATATGTTAAGTTTTTTTTTTATAAATCATTATGTTAATTACTTTTAAATGATTATTGAATATCAATTAGTAATAGATGATTGAAATAGTATTGAAATTTTAATGTTCCGATCCCAAACCTTAAGAAATCTTGTAAACAAAAATTCAAAATTCATATTTACTAAAAGAAGAATTCAATATTCGATGTCTATGTAGATTTGTATTATATAGCTCGTTTAAAAGTTAATATGATTTGTATAAAAATAAAAAGATAATATGATTTTGTAATAAGGTTATTTTCCCTTTCCTTAAACTTTTTCTCATACCACTATTTTAGATTAGAAATGTTTTCTAACCAAATTTTACACCTTGGGTTAGGGAAACAAATATAAAAAAAAAAAGTATGTGCTGCAACATGTATATACCTATCTTATTTTTATCTCAAAAAAGATTGATATAAGAATCTTGAAACTGTAAATAGATTCTTTTTATTTTTTTAGTTTCAGTTATAAAATTTAATGATCTTTTAACTCTGATGCGATGGCTGCACAAAAATTGTTTCATAAATATTTTATTGATGATGTAATGAGTCAGGTATAGATAGTATAACAGTGTTATTAAATTCGATATGCGCACGATCCGGGTTAGGATACTGAGTCATTGGATCAACGAATCGATGGGTTACTAGTTGGATCAGTTGACCCGGATATATATAAATATATAAATATCAATATATAAATTTAATTATATTCTTCATATTTAAAATGAGTTAAACAAGGATCATTAAATAAGCTTAAAAATTACTCAATCACACTTTTATAAGTTCATAAAGCACAAATAAACGAAAATGTACGTTATTACTATGTCAACTTAAATTGCAACTCATAATCCTCATAGGCATACCTCTCAATGACATTGAACACATTTTTTAAATTCATCTACATTGAAATGACATATGTCACATTTTCTTAATTTATTGTTCTTGAAATTACTGCAGTATTGGAAGCTGAAATTTGAGGTCATTGTAGAAGAGTATACTAGCAAATAAAATTAAAAAAATAAATAAAATGATTTGTACATTTTTTTTGATAAGATGAAACAATTTTGGCCTTTTTGGTTTTTTTTTTTAAATGCATGACCCGACTGGGTCACTGGTTTTGACCGGGTTTGGCCAATTTTGTCCTAGTTTTAATCGGATCCGATGCATGACCGGTCCAATGTTTGACCCGAACCGATCCGATGACCGTTTGTCGGGTTCCGAGTCGGGCCGGGTTTCACAATAGTGTAGTATAATGAGTCATTAACGTCAGGTGGGTTTAGGGGGAGCCCGTTATGGGGACCACTACCAATAGGCTAAGGCTACACTACCATATCAAGTGGATTCGACATCATATCTCAATCCAAAATCTTAAGGCATTGGGTTCATTGATCCATCCACTTATATCCATTTTACTTAGCTCATTACCAATCACTGTGGAACTCATCATAATTGAATATCTCAACAAACTTTCCCTCAAGTGTGACACCCACCATTGGTACGCTATTCCTCATCCGAGTATGCCAGGGTCAAAATACTCAACTCGCCTCCTAGCCAAACACCTGGCTAGTTCGAGCCTAATCCAGCTATGATACCACTGTCATACGGGTCCAAAAGGAGCCCATGGCAGAGGACAACCACCAATAAGCTAAGCTAGCCTAACGTTAGCAAGTGGATCTGTAACACCCTGTTCCAGACTGGTTTGTTAACATACAATATAGTATTAAGCGCAACATAATAACTTAACTTGTGGAAGCGTACCAATAAATACATCAGCTAGTTGATCATTTGAGTTGACAAAACCAGTGACTATATTTCATGACAGGATTTTTTCTCTAATGACATGACAGTCTATCTCAATGTACTTAGTCCTTTCACGAAACACTGAATTAGAAACAATATGCAAAGCAGCTTGATTATCACAAATAAGAGATGTTGGGCCAGTGTCTGCAAACTTGAGTTCTTTTAGTAGTTATTTTAACCAGATGAGTTCATAGGTGGCTGTGACCGTGGAACGATATTCTGCTTCAGCACTTGATCTAGTAAATGCACTTTGTTTCTTGCTTCTCCAAGAAACCAAGTTATCTCCAACGAATACACAATACCTATATGTGGATCTTCTATCAATGGGGGAACCTGCCCAATCAACATCTACAACTCTGGTATGACCTTTATTTTCATAAGGAGACTTTTACCTGGAGTAGTTTTGATGTAATTGAGGATACGAATCACTGCATTCCAATAATTATCACAAGGAGAATTCAAGAATTGACTTACTACACTGACTGCAAAGGAGATGTCTGGTCGAGTAACTGTGAGATAATTCAGTTTCTCAACCAATCTTCTATACCTTTCTGGATTTGAAAATAGCTCCCCCTGATTTGGCAAAAGCTTGACATTTGGATCCATAGGGGTATCGACGGGCTTAGCATTCAACAGAGTTGTCTCCTCAAGAATGTCCATAGCATCTTTTCTCTGTGACAGTACAATCCCGTCTTTGGATTGGGCCACTTCTATCCCTAAGAAATATCGGAGTCTTCCAAGGTCCTTTGTCTGAAAATGATGGCAGAGATGTTATTTTATCGAAGCTATGCCATGATGATCATTACCTGTAATGACAATATTATCAACATATACCACCAAATAAGTAGAACTTGAATCAGAGTGTATAAAATAATGAGAGATCAGGCTCACTCCGAATCATGCCAAACTGTTGTACAACAATGTTAATTCTTCCAAACTAGGCTCGGGGAGACTGTTTGAGACTATAAAATACTAACTTGAAGATGCTAAACAAATGGGCATCAACCTTTTTCCACCGAGGGAACGCATATTTCGAAAAAGACTCAGCCTTAGTAGTGAGATGCTCAGCATAATCCTGTCCATAAGCCAAAGTTTAAGATCAGAAGCCCACGCATAACGGAACATTAACATAATTGGTGAAAACTGGTGTGTTAGCCTTCTGAGAACCCGTGGATGCATGATGGAGTGAAGAATCAACCATGGGTCACCTGAAACATAGATAGGAAGCACAAACAAGGGTGTGAACAGTAGCGAAAAGAGGACAAACGCTGTGGGAAGGCCACGACGGAGTCGAAACCATAAGGTAGGCACAAATCTAGTCGTGCAAGGAGAGGGCAAGCTTGTTCGGCCAAGTCGCATGTGAAGATTGTGGCCCACGCCCTGCTGCAAAAGCTGGATGAGCGCGTTTGTTGCACGCGCATGAGGGAGCATGAGCAGGATTCTAAAGGTGGGTCCTAGACAGAGAGGATCGCCTTGTCGTGGCGATCACAACTGTGGGTGGATCACTGGAAAACTCGTCGGAGACGGTAGTCAATGGTGATCAGACAGGACTGGAGACAATAGACGGAAGCCGGAAACTGACGGACGCGACAGTTTCCGAAAAAAATTTACTCCGTGGACAATGGATTCACTGGAGAGACGCAGATTAAGATTCCTCTTGTTAGGCTCTGGATACCATGCTAAATACCGGTAACCAAGAGGTATCATTGTAATTCTTGTGTCAACTACACATATGAGATTTCATTTATATATCAAACCAAATGAGAGAATCAAAGAGATGTATATAACGTGGGACCTCTACAACAACAGAATATATATGCATAAAATGTTTACTCTGGAATTCCACAAATTGTTGGCAGTGTCAGTCACATGTTTAGACTTTCAACTTCCCATGTAGGTCACTGGTAAGCAATTTATTACATGGTACAATCTTTAGGCCAAAATTAACAATTAGCATGTTTATATTTTAAATAAATAAATAGCTTGAGACCAAATAGAATTTTAGCTCTCTAATATATGCAATGACAACAAAGCCACATTAGAAGAGTCCAAATAAAGACCATCTAAACTACTGAATTTTGTAAACAACAGCAAAGTTTGTCTGCCAATTAAAACCGAATAGTACAATTGCTGTGGAAAAGAAAAGAAAAGAAAAGAAAAAGACATTAGAGAAGACCCAATAGTAATAATGAGAGAAAACATGACTCAACCAGAACCGAACTTATTGAACTTGAGAGCTACAAACACATAAATCTGGTCTGCAATATGATCAAAGAACCGAAAATATGTATGCCTCAATGCTCTATTGAGAAACAAAGAACCACAAATTCCCCAAAACCCCACAGCAAATCCAACTCCCATCCCAAGATAGAGTGAGTCCTTAAAAGGGTCAGAATCTCCACCTTGCTTTGCCTTGTTATGATTTTCTTCTTTAGTGCAATTCTTTGTTAAAGGAGCTCCGCAAAGTTTAGGATTCCCAACATAGCTCCATGCATCAAAACTCTGAAGCTGAGTCCCAAGTGGGATTTGGCCACTGAAACCATTGAATGACAAATTCAGATAACTTAGGAAGGACAAATTAGTGATGCTTGTAGGAATTTCCCCTGAAAGATGATTATTGGAGAGATCAAGGGATTCCAAATTTTTCATGTCTCCAATCCTTCTCGATATCTTTCCCATGAAATGATTTCTAGACAAGTTCAAGAACTGCAATTGAGTAAGACCAAAAAGTTCTGGTGGGATTTCTCCAGAAAAGTTGTTTGCTGAAAGGTCAATATCCCGCAAAAGCCCAGTGTCCTCAAAATCTAACTCTTGACCTTTCCAAAACAAATTGACACTAAACCGAAAATGGATCATTCTTCTTACACCATCCATGGGAGTAAATTTGTAGATACAACGAGGAATAGGTCCTGAAAGTTTATTCCGTGAAAGATCTAATTGTATTAGAGAAGAGAGATTGCATAGTTGTGGTGGAATATTGCCAGAAAACTGGTTGGATCTCAATATCATCACTTGCATACTCTGTGGCATCTTCACTGGTATGGCTCCAGAAAAATTGTTTTCTCCAAGGTTGAGGAATTCCAACGTTTTCAAGTTTGACAGGTCTAGTGAAAATTTTCCAGACAAATTATTCTTATGCAAATCCATTTCAATTAGTTCATAAAATGAACTCATTGATGGAGGAATTTCACCAGTTAGCCTATTACTCCCCATGAAAAGGAAAGATAAACCATTCCAATTCTCCCAACAATCAGGAATTGCACCTGTTAAGAGATTGTATGATATATCCATATAATTCAACCTGTTTTGTCTACCCAATTTATGGCATAAAAAATGGGAAATGGATCCAGAGAAGGAATTGACAGATACATCCAAATGGAAGACATTTGTTGATATACGTGGGAGCCCTCCAGTGAAATTATTGTTAGACATATAGATATATTCAGAGTTTAGTGTGACGTTTGATAAGTCAGCACTAATTGCATTGTGTGAAAGACAAATTTGTCTAATATTAGCAACAAAGTTCCAAAACATGTCTGCATTTATGGATGAAATTCCTGAGTTAGGAACATCTAGATATTCTAGTGTCCTTTGTGTATATAGCCATGCTGGAAAATCAGGACCTAGAATTGTATCTCTCAGACTAATTCCTTGAAGCTGAAAAGGAGGAATCCAGTTAGAACCCAAATCAAATGCAAAAGCTGAATTCAGGATAAGTGTTTCCAAACTGAAGAGTTTGGAAAAATGCTTCTCAGAGAGAACACCTGACATGGAATTTCCTCCAATGGATAAACTCCTTAAATTGAAGAGTTGTCCAAGACTGGTTGGAAGACTACCATTCAAGAAATTTGAGCTGATACTTAAGTCAACCAAGGATGAGAGATTCCCTAGAGATGAAGGGATGAAACCCTGAAACAAGTTCTCTGACAAACCAAGATATTGTAAATGTTCATGTTCCCCGAACCAATTTGGAATGGATCCATTGAGTTTGTTATAACCCAAGTTTAAAGATTTAAGATTTTGAAGGTTCAACAAGCTCTTGGGTATTTGACCCTGTAAAGTATTGAAGCTAAGGTCAATATAGGTGATGTCACTGCTGAGATTAAACAACCAATAAGGCAATTCAGAGTCAAAATAGTTCCCAGACAGGTCAAGAGTTTCAAGTGAAGTAAAATTCACAAACTTAACAGAAGGATTGATATTGGTTAGATGACAACTTGCCAATCTTAACTCTAATAGAGAAGGATGCATGGCCATGGACTGAAGCCACTTTGTTTCATTGGAAAGATTAATTTGACTGAGGTTGAGACTTTTCAAGGAAGAAAGTTGGGAAAGCCAGTGAAGATTATCCATGTGAAGATCATCATTAAAGGACAAGTCCAGGAACTGAAGGTTAGAGAAGTTAGCATGTGTATTAGGTGTGAGTAGTGATTGGTTGAGAATAGAAGGAAGAATAAGAGCTGTAAAGCCATTCAAGCTCAAGTCTAAATAGTTCAAGAATTCAATTTCAAGCAAAGAGAGGTTGATTTCACCTTCCAAGTATTGTTGATTTAGATCAAGTCTTGTAACTCTGCCTGTGATGTTATCACACTGAACTCCATTCCATGCACAACAATTTTCTTCATTGGACCAAGAGAAGAGCTTGTTGGAATGGTCTATGACACCATGTTTGAAGTTCAGCAGTGCAGATTTGTCATTTTCATTGCAACGGAGCTGTGTATTTGTCTTACAAATGCCTCTGTGGAATATCGTTGCACAAAGCAATAGCAGCAAAATATTTGCAATTTGAGAAGTGAAGGTAACCATGGTTGATTTAGCTTGGAGAATTGGGAACTCAATGTAAGGGGTTTTGTGAGTAGTTGCTGGTGAATCTCACTGCTTATATTGCCATCTGGTATGAACTAACGTATACTAAGGTTCAACGTACGTATGCTAGCATTTGGAATCAAAAACGAAAAATATTCAACAAAGTTGCTTGTCGTTTTCGTTATCATAATTTACGGAGCCAATAACGTAGGAAAATGGACTTATTGACCGTGTTTCTGGACCTATGATGGACCTATACATAGAAGAGGTTGTACTTGTGCGTTGATTCTTCTACATAAAGAAATTCTCCTGTTTTTCCCTTCTTCCTTTTATTTTCGATTTTAAGTGTATTTATTCTAGCTTTTTAACTCTACTACTAAAAAAATTAAAGATTGTAATCAATTATTAATGTTTAATTTGACTATTACTAGAGTTGGGCTTATAAATATATATATATATATATAAATATATATAGAGAGAGAGAAAAAAAATCCTTTTGGGTTTAGGGTGTGAAATGATCCTCCTTCCTATACATAGAGCAAGATTATTTGATACTCTAAACCCTAAACTCAAAAGGATATTTATTCTCGGTTATTTCACCCTTTTGCCCCTCATTAATTATTTAATAACCATTTTCCCCCTCATTCAAAACTATCTACCAATCTGCCTCTCTTTAATCGATTAAGCCAAAAATTTAATCGATTAAATGGTCAAAATAGACAAAAATCGTTGACTTGAAGATTTAGTCGATTAAATCTCCCTATTTAATCGACTAAATCTCCCATGAATAAAGTTGTTCTTCTGATAAGGAGGAAGATTTAATCGATTAAGTTGAAGATTTAATCGATTAAATCTTCATTTGACCATTTAATCGGTTAAATATTTAAGTTAGTCGATTAAAGAGAGGCAGATTGGTAGATAGTTTTGAATGAGGGGCAAAATAGTTATTAAATAATTAATGAGGGGCAAAAGGGTGAAATAACCATTTATTCTCTCTATATATATATTTATATATAGAGCATGATCATTTAACACCAAATACTAGCAGTTGAATTCCTCCGATTTGATAGTTAATTTTTTAAAAATGAATAATTAATTAATAAGTATGATCCAATAAATTATAACTTTTAAATTTACGGAAATGAATAGTTAAGGAATTGCCAAGTGAGTGACTAAACAAAAGTTTGGTGCTGAGCAAGCTAAGACATGACTAAACATGACTAAAAATGACTAAGTGACCCAATATTGGGTAGCTCACTTAGCAAGTGAGTGCCTAACAAATTATTTTGATCAAGGGTTCAAACCTTGGTTAAAACAATTTTTTAAAATTCTTTGGGGCCAGAACTCTGAGGGTAAAGTGGTTCAATACACCTTTTTATTCAATGAGAAACTAGCCTTAATGCCTTACTCTGAAGGTAAAGTGGTCGGAGGTAAGATACCTACAGATTACATAAAAAAAACTTTGCTCACATTAAAATGTAAAATTTTATGTTATTATAAATTGTTAAAAATTATTTATGATTTTAAATTTTTTTTGAACAATTTATAATAACATAAAATTTCTAAAATCATAAATAACTGTGAAATTTTATGTTATTATAAATTGTTAAAAATTTGGTTAATTTAAATTTCACAGTTATTTATGACTTTAGAAATTTTATGTTATTATAAATTATTAAAAATTTGTTTAATTTAAATTTCATTTTTATTTATGATTTTAGAAATTTTATAAAATATACCTATGGTTTATCCAAAAATTCTTAATAAATTCTATTGAAAAGTAATTTGCCTTTTATTTAATAGTTTGTTAGTTTAGTGGCAATCCAGTTAGATCCCACCATTTGATCTGCACAAAAAATAATAGATTTAATTTATGAGAATTGTAACTCCTAAAAGGGTGAAAGGATTCAAACGCAAAATTGACATAGTCTGATATATTAAAACTTTAGACACCAATTAATATATACCAAAAAAAAAAATACCCATTAAATTATACAAAACAAATCTCACCCTCTAAAAACATTTTTTTTTAGTTTTTTTATTGACAAATATTCATACTAGAAACTCGATTTTCTAAAATTTAGTTGCTAAATTCTCTAGCTTTATAGTAAATAGGAAGGAGTCATTGCAGTCAAATTAGAAGGGGAAAATAGAGAGTTACGAGGTCATAGTCGTACATGCATATTTATCGTGCAGTAAACCAACCACGTACCGTGCATCGTACCTAACAAAAATTCTCTAGCTTTATAGTCAATAAGAAGCAAGGAGTCCTTGCAGGCACATTAGAAAGGAAAATAGAAGATTATGAGGTCATAGTCGTATATGCATTTTTATCGTGCAGTAAACCAACCATGTACCGTGCTTCGTACTCAACAAACGTTTGGTGCTGGGCAAGCTAAGACATGACTAAGGATGGTCCAGCACTTAATGAGTAAAAGAAGGATGGGTGGAAACAGTTAACGGGACTGTGTGTTTTTGGCTTAACTTAGGGATTGTAATTATCAACACGACTTGCTGAAACGATGCAAATATAACATGAAAAATTTGTGTTCGACTCAAATCATTTTTAAATTTATATCGTGTTTGGATTAATAAAAATTGACTCGGAAAATTTATGTTGGGTCGTTTGTCAATTTGTGAATCCAAAATTGAATTGCATTGATTTTCTTACAAGTGATTCATGTCATAAATATTATTTGTATCTTATCATGTCATATGACCCACATAATAACTAACACAATTTGTGTTTGACATTCATGTCATGTAGTATTATTTCAACCCCTGTAATAAACAATATATTGTGAATTTGCAGGTTATTCGTGTCATATTATCGGCAAAGTAAGCGGATTGTGCTCACGTTGAATGTTCTAAATCAATTTCAAATTTGTGTCGTGTTCGTATTGAATATATTTGTATTCGTGTTGTGTTGTGTTGTGTTGTGTCAGGTCTCCACCTCTAACTCGACTTGTTAATTTGTTACATTTTTTTTATAAATCATTATGTTAATTACTTTTAAATGATTATTAAATACCAATTAGTAATAGATGATTAAAATAGTAATGAATTTTTAATGTTTCAATTGGTGTAGCCACATTGTAACATGCTAGTGCCTTGGCACTACCTTTGTTTTAAAAAAGTTTACTTATTACATATAATTAATTATATATATAATTATATAGTTAATTAAAATTTGGCCATGGCTAAAATTATAATTTGGCCCTACCTAAATAAATATGGGGCATGATATACTTACCACCAAAAATATTTATCACATTTACAATCAATCTAATCACCACTGATTTTTGTCAATTTAACGGTTATAATTTATTAAGAATTAATAATTAATTAATAAGTACAATCCAATAATTTCCAATAAAGTAAACTATTAGATTGACGAAAATTAACGATGATTAAGTTGGTTGTAAGGTTGGTAAACTTTTTTGATAGTAAGTATATATATTCTTCCCCAAAAAATATAACAAAATTTCAATATTTTTATCTATTTTTAATTTTCTTTTCTTTTCCCTTTTTTTAAGAGTAAATACATTTTTTGGTCCTCAGCAAATTTCACGATGCCCGTTTTAGTCCCTAGCAAATAAAAAGGTCCATCGTGGTCCTAAAAAATTCAAAATGGACTCATTTTAGTCATTTTAGGGACTAATATGGATCTTTTTTGAATTTGTGAGGGACCACAATTTCAACTAAATGAGTCTATTTTGAATTTCTTAGGAACCACGATGGGCTTTTTTATTTGCCAGGGACTAGGGGTGATAAACGAGCTAGGGGCCTTTGGCTCGGCTCGTGAAGGCCTGAGCTTACATGCCTAATATTGATTGTTGGAACCAGGCTTGGACTTGTATAAAAGCTCGTTTAGTAAAAAGGCCACATGCTCCAATTCAAAAGCTCGGCCTTGGAGCCTCTCAGGCTGGCCTAGTATATTAATTTTTATTTTTATTTATATTTTTTATACTATTTGTAATAGTCATCTCTCACCTCTCAATCCATTCCACCCCTATTTTATTAGTTAAACAGACTTTTTGAATGATTTTGTTCTATATTATGTTGTTTGGATATACATTGAATTTATGAATATTTATCGAATTACTAGTGTTGTTGATGGTATATTCTGTTTGGATAAAAATTTGTTGTCTTATTTTTTTCTAACAAGCTAAATCAGGCTTTTATTTTTTATAAATAATGCAGCCACAGGCCGATAATTATATTCGTAACGGTAACATGCTTAATAAGGCCGACACATTTAAATACTGACTTAGCCTTTTAAGACCAAAGCTCGACTCGGCTCGGCCCGTTAACACCCCTACTAGGGACTAAAACGGGCATCGTGAAATTTGCTGAGGACCAAAAAGGGTATTCACGCTTTTTTTAACCACTCATTTGTCATTTTACTTTCTAAAACATATTTTTTATTTTTTATTTTTATACCCACATCTTCTTTCACACAATTCTTTTTCTGTTTTTTTCCTCTTTCCAAATCAGCATCCCAAAATACCCTATCTCTCTCTCTCTCTTTCTTTAAGTCTTGATGTTTTTGCCAAAACCAACACCAAGCCATGTGCGCATCTGCTGTTGGGAAATATTTAATATGGTTCAGGACCACTAAATCTTTTGGTGCTCTCTCTCATATCATTAATTTTTTCTTTCCCTTTTTATCCCTGTTATTTTCCCTCTTTTCCAATTTTACCATCTTATTTACACTAAGGGACCACCTAAAAAATGGTGGTCCCAGTTCACAAAAAATAATCTCCTGCTGTTGATTCTTTTTCCCTGACAGGTTCTTTGATGTTTTGCTGGGTTTTACGATTTTAGTGGACTAGTAATAATTTCAAAGATTACATTTAGGTAGTGTTTGATAGAAGATTTATTTTGGTATTGATAGGAAACTGTAAGTGGATATTGGAAAATATCACGTTTGGTTCAGGTTTTTGAAAAAAATACTAGGCAAATAAGATAGATGGAAAAATGACTTTTGTGTTGATTTT